TAGGAACGCTTATATCATACGTTATCATGGCAATCTGGGACTCATATTCATGAACATGTCTGGTGTGAAACATGGAATTCCTAAAAAATAGAACCATGTCGACATAAGGAAAAAGTTGTCGATAACCTTGAGCACTTTAATGATCTTGGTCCTTAATCCTTTACAGGGTACTGGTACAATAGCGTATCATCTCCCTCTCTTCCTGCAGTTTTTTCTTATAAAGATTTATTATTTTTTTCTAGATTCTCAATAAACAATCTACATTGATTGCTCACTTTCCCAAGGTCACTCAATTTCTGAATTTAATCTAAATAACTGGAATATCGTCTAGTGTGCTGGAGAGAAATCGCAATGTTGGCAGAAAATTCCTGGAAGTGGTAATAACCTTGTTTTGGGGAGTTCCTCATGAGTAGACTTAAAGCATGAGTGGAGCCTGAGAGTCAGCAAAGAGGATCCCTTTCTGATTATGATATCCATGATATGATCTGGTGTCCTGTGATCTTCCCTCATTACTGGCATGAAAAAAACATTGAAGTCTGATAAGGAATCACTTCTCTGGGAGGGCAAGGCATAGTATGGTCTTCAATTGCCTTATGCCCATGCAGGTGATCCTAATTCCCTTTTCCCTTCCTTGTTTGTAGGGAGGTGATCCCATATTATTCTTACTCTGCTTGGTACTAATAAGTTCTTTCCTTCTATAGTTATCATGAAAGTGAATATATTTAATTTAACATAGACCATATGGGAGCATTTCTCAAGCAGTTCCTCATTTATTCTTCAATCAAGCAATCTGACATCCCAGAATCACAAGTTTAAAGATAGGTACAATATAGAGAGAGATGGATTTTACACACTGAAAATTTTTCAGTTTTTGTCAGAATAGTCTTAGCAGATCTCCTTCTCTCATTGTGGAGGCCTTGGAGGAAGAGGTGCACCCATCATAGGAGGTCTCACTGGTCCACCCATCATTGGACCCATGGGTCCCATAGGAGGCCTCATACCTGGGCAAAAGAAGAAAAAAAAGGAGCCACTTGGTCAACCCAAGTTCATTATTGCTTGAAGTCACTAGTATATGGGTCTGACTGACCTGGGTAAGCCATGTTTGGTGGAGGCCCCATGACACCTGGAGGTGCACCAACCATTGTCCCCATCATAGGAGGTGCTCCAGGTGGAGGAGGTCCCATGGGTGGCCTCATACCAGGTGGCATAGGGGCTGAAGGTACTGAGGGAGGCACAGGAGGTGGCCTTGGTGCCCCTCCTTTATGAAGGAAGTGTAAGAATGAACCTCAGAACTCAAACATGAAATACACTTCATAATTCAATTTTCAAAACCTTTATGAAGTTGAAACTTAATAACTAACCTGTGAGATTTGATGGTGGGGGAATAGCAGCTCCCTTGGGTATCTTTCCAGCTTTGAAGGCAGCAGCTGAAAATAGGTTTAAAAAATCCAGGTTATTGTTTTTTTTTTTTTTACTGTCATCAAGCAACAGTAATCTAAAAGGATTTATCATGCACATTAATCAACAGTACTTTTGTGCTTTTATAAGCATGAATAAGCCTGACTGGGTCTATCTGAGATAAACTTAATGAAATCACATATACAGGGTGAGCCATAACATCTCATACAAACTTCTATATAGGCTAAAAGAGCTCAAGAGAGTTCATCTCAATCTGTTATTTTCCCATTTGTTCCATCCAACTGGTATATATGTGTGGGTGGAACTTCAATATTGTACTGCTTTACGTTTTGCGTTATAGACGCCTTAAAGTTGAAGCGTGCAGCTGCGATTGAGCTGTTCTGGAAGGGCCAAAGCCCAGGGAACATCTTTCATCAACTCCAGTCCAGTGGTTACATTCAAGATTTCATTTATCGTACTCTCAGGCATTATCGTGAGACTGGAGGTGTCAATGACAGGAAGCATACTGGCTGACTGTGTTCTGTTTGCATGGCAAAGCTTGTCAAGAACATTCAGGCACGGATCAGGCAGGACTGGCATTCAGGCCGAAAATTGGCGATTGAGATGGATACCTCACACACAACCATGTGGCAAGTGCTGAAGGAGAATCTTGGGTGGAAGCCTTTGAAGATGCAAAAGACTCAAATGCTCAACCAACGGACCAAGCTTGCCAGAAAGAAAAAATGTCAGGCTCTGCTACAGCAATTCAAATCCGACATCTTGGATCGAATCCTGTTTTCCAATGAGACGCTGTTCCACGTGGAAGCTAAGTGGAACACCCAAAACAATAGGGTCTATGGAAACAGTGTTATGGAGTTGCCTGAGGGAGTCAATAAGATGCAGAAAACACAAAACATCTGGTGTTGGTGATGGTTTGGACTGGTGTCCACCATGGGCAAGACTTCCCTGGTTTTTATGGCTCAAGGGGTCGAGATTCAAAAGGAAAACTATCTAGCAAATATTCTTGAGCCTCATGTGTGCCCCCTGACACACGATCTGTTCAAAAATGGGGAAAAGTGGTTCCAGCAGGATTCAGCATCAGCCCACAAGGCCTGCACCACTCAAAACAGGTGCCAGGACAATTTGCCAGGCTTCATATCCACTGCTGAATGGCCTGCCTCCTCACCTGATCTGAATCTGATGGACTTTGGTCCAAGTAGGAGCAGATGGCCTGCAGTAGGAATCATCCAAATGTGGAGTCCCTAAAGCACTCCCTTGTGAAAGCATGGAGCAATCTCCTGATGGAAGAGGTGTGTACTGCAATCCATAGCTGGTGAGGAAGATTGTCAGCCTGTGTGAAGGCTGAAGGGGGTTGCTTTGAAGTTTAATAATTCCCATGTGAAGTTTATGTTGCAATGATGACATTTTTTAAATCTGACACTTCTACCTCTCAAAATCGATGTTCATGAACCGAAAGCCTTTGTATGAGATATTATGGCTCACCCTGTACCATGTGGTGCAAAAAAAGCATCCTGTCTGAGGCTTTATAAAACCAACTGTACAAATGCTGGACTTGTCTAATTTTTTTTTTTTAACAGAAAACACTTGAAAATTGATTTCTGGGTAGATTTGAAGTCTCTAAGTTGTTTTGGTAAAGGGCATCATTTCTTGAAACTTTGATAAGAAAATACCACTTCTCCAACTATCAGGAGGCAGTAGTTCAGGCAGTGCTCTACATATGAGTCTTATTGGTCACCAAAAGCCTGCTTCTTATTGCATAGCTCTTGACTGTGCAGTGTCATCATGTCTTATCTTACAAAGGAAAAGTCACTGCATCAAATGGGTATTTGTAAAAGAAGGTCTGGAGAGGAAAGAGACTTCACAGGACAGAGTCCACAATTTTATATACAACCCTAACTATTCTCTTCCTCTCCAGTCCTTATCCTCTGAATACATAAAATGCAGGCCTTACCTTCATACCAGGGGCCTAAAGACACTACACAATAAGGATTACTACAATGGGGACACAATATAAAAAAACAGCCTTTTGGACATTGAAGGAGTGAAATATTTAAAGTAGAGCTGAGACTGCATCCACCTGGTGCAAGGAAAAAGTTATATTTTAAGACAGCACTTTTGTATGCCTTTTGCTTTTCATCCAATGACTTAAGACAATAAAAACTCTCAAGAAGCATTTTTTTTTAGTGCTTCCAACATGATAAAAAAAAAATGTATGAACATAGAGTTTCCAGTCAGTTTAATTAGGTATCAAACAAGATGGGTTTGCTACAGGATGACCTCATCAGGTCCTTCTTTCCTTTGCAAATCTCAGAATATTGATGGAATCCTGGATAATAAATATTTAAATAAATGCATCTAGTTCTTCTTCCCTTTTAATTATGCAGACCTACCTTAACCTAAACTTGTGACATGAATGACATTAATGACTTACTAGTGGCATCAATAAGTGACTGTGCTTGGTCTTCCATCCACTTCTGGTAGTAAAAGCGTACATTATCCTTGTGCTTCCTCCCTCCACAATGGGTCTTCCGTACAGATGGCTGCAGGACATAGGGCAAGAGAGAATACAACTAAGCTTGTTGATACTGAAGATATGAAAGAAGAGAGAAGGGAATATCAACTCAAACTTACAGAGTCATGGGTAAGAAAAGTGTCACAGTAGTCACAGAAGTACCTAAGAACAGAAGGAAGTAAGATGTGTGAGAAAAAGAGTTGTTTTAGACCTAATGTTTAACATAGCTTGAATCATATGATTGCAAGATAAGTCTCACTGCAGAAAACATCTTTGCCAAAGGGATAAGGAGGAAGGTAGGCAAACCAAATTATCCAAAGTAGCTTCCCTTCCCCTCCCCCCCTCCTCCTACCCACACAAACATTTAGGAATATATTAATAGAATATTACCAAGAATGATAATAAATCATTATTCCATAATAATTAGTCTTTGTAAGGCCAAGCTTTGACAATAAGTTAGGTTAGTCTCGCATTTTTATGATTAGCTTTTTATGACCATTATATGCTTATTGGTGCAATTCTTGTTTCAAATTGTCATTCCTCAATATGCCTCAGAAGAATATATTAAAAAACGCAAATTTCATATTAGGCCTCTAAGACTTACAAGTGAAACCCATTTTTTTTTTATCCGAAAGCGTATAAATTCAATTTGAATTTACAGTAGCCTTAAACTGGGTTCCATATGTTCAGATTAATATATGCAACATTCAAATGATACAACCTTAAAGAAAAAGTACCCAAGAAATTCTGTCGTAATTACTGGCTCTTTCATACTCACTTCGGCATTGTGCACGTGTAGGGAGAGGAAGAGACGCTCAAGTTGAAACCTTTCAGACAGCGTCACTATGCGCGCAGCCATGCAACACAGTGACGTTCCTCAAATGCTCGAAAGCTTGCAAAAAATGTTTAGACATGTGGGCAGGAAGCCACTAATCGTGTCTTTCGTCCTCTCTAAAAATGCAAAAAAAAGTATTTACTGCAACTACAGAAGTAAAATTTTCAAGAATCTACACGATTCATCTGGGACATGGAAGTCTTCAGATAGGTTATATGGCATACTTGTCCAAGGCCGAGAAGCGCTCAGCTCCACAGCCGAAGACCACGTGTTCAGGTTCTGAACTGTCCACGTCTGTTTTATTAACAGAAAAGAATTTAAGGATTTTTAGCTTTATATACGGAGAGAAATGGATTTGCAAGCTGTTATTCTGGCTGGGGGTAAGGGATCAAGGATGACTGAGTTGACAAGGAATCGCTCAAAGGCTTTGTTGCCCGTCGGTAACTTCCCCCTGATCTATTTCCCCATGAAGATGCTTCAAAATGCAGGTTTTGACGGTAAGTGAGGCTCAATATTTGCCATGAGGCTAAGCTCTGAGTAAAAATAACAAGGCCTACTAGCCCTTGATACTTTGTATGTGACCGAAATTTGCTTTTCAGAAGTGATCGTGATCTGTCAAGAATCCTTAAAAGGGCCCTTGGAGTCCCTCTTGAAGAAGTTCAGCTTGAGATTGAATTTGGACGTCATCACAATACCAGACGATGATGAAATGGGCACTGCAGATGCTCTCCGACTTGCTGGAGACAGGATCAAAGTGAGTCCCCAAGGACACTATATTGGACTGACAAACCCAACATATGTGCTGTCTGAGTCAGAGGTTCAGAAAGATGAGCGAGGCTGGTCTCAAGCCATTCATCTGCTCTCCAATATATGTTTCCTGCTTTCTAATTTACTTGATTGATGCATGCATGAAGTTATTATATAATATTGGTTGATCATGCTTATTTGTTCTACTTTTGCACAGGAAGACCTGTTGGTGGTGAGCTGTGATGTCATTACTGATTTTGAAATTCAGAGATTATGGGAACTTCATAAGTTGAATGAGTCATCTCTGACAGCCCTCCTCTCCCCATTCCCATACCCTACACGAAAAGTGCTTGTGCCTGGTCATAAGTCAAAACAGATTCTTGGTAGGAGTATTAATTAATGCAACCCTGCAACTACTCACTATTGATAAAACCTTGGTTTTGATCCATGGTAACTCATACATTGCAGAACGAGATCTTGTGGCCATTGATCCTGGCACAAATCAGCTCATTATGCTTGCATCAGAAGCTGACTTTGAAGAGTCATTTTCATTGAAGATGTCTATACTGGAAGGTCATCCACATGTGAGAGTCTTCTCTAATCTCACAGATGCCCATGTTTACATTCTCAAGAAATGGCTGATCCCATTCCTCTCTGATCACAGGTCTGCCATTTTCATGCTTTCACAATCCATGCTTATTATCAATCACCGGAATTACTTGTTCTTGTTTTAGCAACATGTCTATGCTGAAAGGGGAAGTTATTCCTTATATAGTGAAGAAACAATTTTCTTCATTCACAAAACAGAATCCAAAAGCTAAAGCCAAAGGTAAGTAAATTGATGAATTGTTACATGATGATGTATGCAATAATAGCAATTTCACTTGCAGTAATTACTTCTGGATTATGGATTATGAATCTTTTTAGATCAGCAAGTCATTGATGGTTATATGAAATGTTAATTTGTATACAGATATTGGTGAATGCATTGAAGAAGATGAGGAATCCAAACTAGTAATGGATAGGAGTGCATGGTCAGATCCCTGTCAAGGCAGGAAGCTGAGGGCCTTTGCACGGATCAGGGGTGCAGATGAAGGTTTCTGCTTCAGGGTCAACACCTTGACAGCCTTCACTCATGTCAATTCTCAGGTCTCTCTCTCATCCAGCTACTCACTGGAAATTTTAGTTCATTAAAAAATGCATTGAAATCAAGCAGTTAAAGCATTAGAAGTTGTGAACATTCTTTTATTTTGCAGTTGTTTGACCTCTTGCCCAAAGTTTTGAGTGCAGATGAATTGTCATTACTCAAGACAAATCAGAGCAGGTCTTCTCCCAGGGTATGAGTATAATCTTTAAAATTTCTTTCCCCCTCCTGATTTTTACCTATTGCTTCATTGAAAAGCACTTCTGATTTCATCTTAGTGTGTCATTGGGGATGGAACAAATCTGGGAGAGAGGTGTGATGTGAAGGGCAGCATTGTTGGTGACCATTGCCAAATTGGTGCAAAAGTGACAATTTCCAATTGCATCATCATGGATCATGTCATCATCAATGAAGGGTGTGTTGACCCTTCCATACTATGATGAAGGGAAAGGCAGGGTAAAACTATTTTCATCTGACTTCTACTATCTTCTTTGCACAAAGTATATGCATCGGTTATGACTCCATTTAATAGACAAACAGGGCAAGCTTTTCAGATAATCCTTTGAAATATGAGATCATATAGCCTTCTTCTGTGTGGCTACACGTGAACCACAAAATTAGGATTTTTCCCCACAATCACACCAGTTTAGAAGAGACTTCTGCTGGCTTTATGCTTTCTCTTTGATCCTACTCAATATGTACACATAGCACTGTATTGCATATCATGAAAGAAATTAAAGCATGAGTGCTGAAACCTCCTTTAGTTAATGGTTCTTTTAGAATACATGGATCCTACGGGAAAAAGGAACTCCAGCTTAAAGGCCCTATTATCTTGCCTAAATGAGGTTTTTGCACTTGGGCCTTCACCTACACCCTCCCCTACTACCCAACTACCTTTTCATCTGAGACAAAACTGTCTCTAACTGTCTGCAAGAGCCAGAGCAAAAGTTTTCCTTACCCATAACTATGCTCTCGTATGAAAAAGTAGAAGACGAGAGGAAATCACAAGAATCTGAATTGGAACTCTGTAAAAGTCTGAGACCCAAGTTCAAAATATTTATATTTCTCAGGAGTAATAGATTTATCCTGTCCACAGTAACCTCCCTCCAGGTAATGTTTAGCCCTCATGGTGGATGAACCATGATTATGACAGCCAAATGTTCAACTCTGAACAAAAAGCTACTTCATTCAGCTTAATTTTCCTGTTAGGTAGTTGTAAACTTGGTTAGGTCTTTTTATATCTCATGAAATTTTCTTTGTTTCACCTTTTACTAGCTAATCCCTTAGTTACATGCGAGAAAATGACAGATATTATGGTTGGTTTGTCACTTTTTCTTCATTATTTTTCATTCAGTCTGTCTATAGTTGTCTTAGTGAACATTGTGTTGTCTCTGTTCAATGTGCATGTTCAACCTTCAGCCTATGTTGGGGTGTCAGTCACTGACTACAGCTGCCATTTCCCTTCCACACCTCTTAGCTGACAGATCCATAGCTGATGAAGGAAAAACGTAGCTCCTTAACCCCTTAAATGGACTCGCCGCATATTTGCGGTCTGGCACCTGCCATCTCTCAATGGACTCACCGCACATATGCGTTCGTGTTCGGAACCAAAGTTCCCAGTTAAGGAGTTAAGACAATATAGACAGGGTTGTAGGCTGAACTCATGAAGTGCCATACCTGACAACCTATATATTCTATTCGCCTCCCATCTTCATGCAATGCAGACACATGAAGGGCTCTCTCTAGTTTTTTTTTTACTATTCACATAGGCCTATAATGTACAAAATGCAGCATTTTATTTTTCAAAAAAGTTGATTAATTATGATGGAGTGAAGGAAGATAACTCCAGTGGAGTGGCAGATCTTTACCTGGGCTTGTACTATAGTATTTAAAGCATTCTCGTTATCTCTCTCTTACAAATATGATCTGGACACTCTTGCAGATGTGTCTTGGTGGGATCCATCATCTGTGATAAAGCCTGCATTGAGGAGAATGCTGAAGTACGGGATTCCATTGTTGGAAGCAGGCAGACAATCAGTGCTAAAGGTAAACCATCTTGTCTCTGGCCATCTTTTCTGTCATATGATAGTATTAAATCTCATTCTTGGTAAAGTTTTACTTGCTAAAAGGCCATTCAGGTATCTTCTCATCCTGTTATATTAGGATATGAATACCAAATTGCTCAGTGAAGCTGGATGTCTTGCTTTTCCTCTGTATCAGTCATTGAAAGGACAATAAATGGAATTTTTATTATAAATTCAGCTTTTCTCATGCTGGTGCTGGGCATGAGTATTTATACATAATTCCAATCATAGGGAATCAGCAGCACTACATCTTCATTTGCATTTCAGTAAAAATATTGGCAGATGTCTCCCTATATAGTTCCTCCTGAAGTGGGGGCAAAGAATCATAAATTATATACAAATATTGCTATCAGTGATGGATGAATGCTGAAGTGAATCCCAAAACCTTTAGAACCTTTTGGGCATTTGAATCAAATGAATTGATTTTAGGATACTTACACTGACTTACTTATACAGAACTTAATCCTGGACCTTTTTTTTAGATTTTTGATCCATAATCTAACCCTAATGCCTAACTGAGATGGATAGAGGCTAAGAAATTCCTTAATTTTCTGCAAGAATCCTTTTCTCAGGTTCATGCCTAATAGTACCATAGACATTACTTCTTGGAATCAACCAACTAGTCACAGTCAGGAATGATTCAAAAGTATTTTTCATATTTGAATGACATTGTATGAATAGTTTTGCTTTTTCCCAATAAATTTCAATAAAAGATTAAATGTATCTGAAAGCTCATCAAGGATTTTTTCAAATCTTACAAATTCTGTTCAAATAAAGTCCAATAGCCTGAAAACAATTTTAAATCGAAATCAGATTCATGAATCTTCTTTCAATTGGGATTAGCATTGCATCTGAATGGATATTCATCCATCACTGTTGCTTGCACATGGACTTTGTTATCATGTTACTGATTAGGCCAAATGAATGGATGACAAGATTGGTGGGCATCATCTGGAAAGCATGTATTTCAAATCTCTAATGTTAGACAGAAATATGAAGTCAATAGCATACAAATTCTCACTTGTCACACAGCTTCTAGTCTACTCAAATTATGAAATAGTCAATGGCATGAATAGCATTCAATTTACAGTTTCTTTCTTGGCTTCCTTTGCTTGAATTGAGCATGTTCATTTGGTTTCATGAAAAGCATGGTTAACCTAACCTAGACAGGACATATTAACTGTGAGATCACCTTTAAGTGAAATCATTTGATTTTGATTTTCGTCGTTTTGATTTCACCTGCAATCAGTTTCCTTTTGATGGTGGTCTAATGTCATGTTCACTTGATGCTTAAAATTTTATCAATTTCAAGCTAAAAGCCTCAACAGGAAAGTACAAACGAAAAAGTTGATTTCTTTGTTGTTTTTTTTTGGTTTGTTACAGCCAAGGTGAATCGTGAGGTGATCTCTGTGGCTGACTCCCTTTTGGAAATATGAGATAGAGAGTGCACTTTATGGAATGGAATTAATTTCTATGCATCAAGGCTTTCTCTATTGGAATGGAATTCTTTATTCATGCAAGGAATGAGCGACAAATGGCAGTAAAGCAGGCACCTTGGTAACATGCAACAGGCAGTAAGCATGCAACGTGACACGTATTTCCCCATCTCACACATTCACATGCATACAGTACATCACAGTAACACTTCACACTAAATATAAATAATTTCCCAGCCAGGGCCAGGCCGGAAGTGAAATGCCCTTGCATTTTGAGCCTGGTTTCCAGAAAGACGAGGACTTGGATGGACTGCACATATAATCAACAAGAAATCAACATTGATTTTTTTTTTCAGTTAAGCATTGATCGATTGTAATTTATCGATGTCCTGGGTAGAGTAAAACCTGTTGGAGTTTTGTACTCTGGTAGGACTCTTTTTCCCTGTGGTACTATGTATCACAAACAAATTCTTCATGGGCAAGATGATCCAGTTCCTGAAAGACTAGTAAGATGTGGGAAGTCCTCTCAGGCTGTCAAAAGATTCCTGGGTTCCATTCGAACGGCATTCATGACTTGGTAGGGAGTGAATTCAAGGTAGACGAGGGCCAACTTGTCTGGGTCCTTGTCACAAGAGGATCGTTGGTGTTGGTGAACACAATCTTGAAGCTTCTCGTCGAAGTAATGCTTCTTAGGACATCGGAAAAGCCCAACTGCAATGCAACAACAGAACATGCAGTGTCTCACTCACATTGTGCAGCACTTGACGAAGTTTCAATAAATTAAAATTTATCATGAAAGTGTCCAATCCAAATAAAGCAACAGTTGCTCAAAGAATCCCGTTTGGTATTCATGATTTAAATGGTGAGCAAGAGACGCATCAGATGCGATTCTTACCTCTTCTTTGAGAGTCGCATCCGTAGAAATGGATGCAATCAGCTTCGAAGGGGAAGACTCCACTTGACGGGCATTGGAACGGCAGACCCGCTGTCACCTGCAATTCCAATAAAGCCAAGATTTGTTTTTGTTCCCGAGAATGTGAATTCCTTAATTATCACCGAGAGCATTTCATATATCCATGGCTTCGTTGACTCCACTTAATTTATATAACAAATGTCAGCCTTCATGCGACGGGGTAATTGCTTCTGTGCTATTTCTTAACATCTTGAGAGTCATTCAGATTTTTTTAAATGAGACTGGACTCACCATAATGGCACCATGAGGCCAATTAATTTTATCGTCGGTGAAGGAAGGAGCGTTGCGAGTCCTTCGCCTTCGTGTTGGCCTTTGGGGTGGCTCTCCGATCATGCAGCCCTCCATTGAACCCTCTGAAAGGAGGAGGAAATATATATTTCATCGTTGACTGAAGGATCACATCGTTTTCATTGCTGGAATGCTTCCTCGTCTACCCGGATGGTCCGGACATTTCCAGACTCAGGTCAATGCTCCAGAGGAGGAAAGAAAGGGTAAATGAAAAAAAAAGGATGGGATTTGGTGTTTCTTGCTAGTCGTGCATGTTCAGCGTGCGAACTAGCACACTACAGCGGTCACGTATCGCCGACGGGACTTGATCACAACAAAGAAATCTGCCAAGTCGTTAGATAATTTGCTAGGTGGACTTCTGCATGACTGACTCCCCGACCGAGAAGACTCTGCAACGGGTTCGAGAAGGGTTTGATCGTAAACCTGTTGAGAGAAAAACCCGTTTCCCCGAGTGGGTGGAGGTTGGGGAAGTACCTCCATCCGCACTCGTCATTACGATCGCGATCGCGGAGGTTGATGATGATGACAACGCGAACGGGTTTCACCGCGTTTTGACGAAGGCATCGACCCGATGTTTTTTAGGGCCGTTAATGAGTTTATCTTGTCTCACTCCTGACGAGCCTTTCCTTCAAAATCCGATGCGAAGGCCTCCGTGAAGGAATGCGCGAAAAAACCGTAGCCCTCATCATTCATGCAGAAACTCGACGCGACGGTTCCCGTCGCACCGAATAGTCTTATCCCCATCGTTCCACCTATCGACACTCTCAATGGACGGTTCTTCCATGAATTATTTCTCGTCTATGCCGGGGCGGTATGGTAAACATGATGTCAAAGAGAAAGCTCAACTTTCGAAATTGAGTCTATGTGTCGAAAGCCAAATAGTTTCGAAACGGGGGCCATAGGTACAATGATGAAAGAGTAACGAGGAGGCAAAGGGCTGCCAGGCATCAGAGTAGGGAAGAAAAAAAGAAGAGTACTGCGGTATGTCTGATAGAAGTGGGTTTGGAATAGTCATTAAGGTAAGGAAAACCTTGAGAACGAGGGCATCCGTGAATCTCTTTCTCTTCCCGACGCACTTCCCCCGTCTCCACGACGGAAGAGGCGAACCATGCCAAACAGCCATTCCCGACGAACTGGTCCCTCATCCGACCCCTTCCGCCATTTAACGATCGTCCGTGAAATTATTCTCCCTCGCATTCTCACGTCGTTCGTACGAAGCTGGGAATCGGAAAGCTTCGATGCGAAAGATTCCTCTGGACGAATCGCGAGCGCGAGGTGCAGAGCGGCTTCATCAATCCCATATACTAAACTTGTTCCCTACCCTAACATTTTGACGTTCACAGTCAGTGAATTCGCTTTCTTCCAGTAAAATTGTCATCTTCCTGGGACGTCAGAGACAATTTAACATCGCTTCGCTCACAGACAAAATAACTCGTCACCGCGAGTGCCATGCCGGCGCGGTGAGGTCGGCAGCCCCCCCCCCCCCAGTATACCAGGCCAAACAATTTTTTTAAGCTTGTTTCTTCTCTCTCCTCTACCAGAAAGAGATATGGCATCTACAGTTATAGTATCTAGAGATAAGCGACGGGCCAACCTCGATCCCATACCGAGCGGCTCCTTTTTCATCTGCCCCATCTCGAACTAAGTGGTGGGGGGTAATAACAATTCCCTGTATTGGTTTTTAAGTGATCAGTGTGACCGGAAATCATCGCAGTTACTCTTATAATTATTTGTGCATTATCACAATGCATGCTCACCAGTATGTTGGAGTGTTGTCGTTGTCCATTAAAAATCCTCTATTCATCATAGACGATGTTTGATATTGTCACCAGTGATCCGGAAGATCAAAATCATCGAGGAATGCCTTAGCATCTGCTGCAGTTTACGCCGAGAGATAAGCCATTACTGCCAAATTGTCCTGCCAAAAACTTCCAACCTTTATAAGAAAAAATCATCCGCCCAGAAAAAAAAATTGGGATAATCAGTGGGGACGGATTTTGAAGTCTGGCTTTTGAAGCTCCTGTCAAAAGTGGCGGTGACGGTAGCGATTTTTGGAAGGATTTGCATACATTTTACACACGCTACAGTTGGGCTTCAGTTGGGCTTGTTGCGTAGTTTGGAAATGAAGTTTGCATCCGTTTTTCTACCAGGAAAGGTATTCGAGCCAGACAATTACTCTTTAATTTGCACTCCCACAGGGTCATGCGGTTGCAAGGAAAAAAGCCGAATCCTCATTATACCCGCGCACATTCTTTTCTGTGAAACGAACGAAGGAGAGACCGTGGTTGGCCTTTCTCAGAAGGATAAAAGATAAAAAAAAGAGCAAATTAGTGTGAGCATCTATCTTCCTGTCGCAGAGTTGCGGGCAGTTACTCCCATTCAATATTCCACTCCCAGATTCCAACACTAATCAACTCGTTTGCTGTCACACCTGCTTGAAACCTACTCCTTGAATCTTCTCAGATTGCCGAAACGGTTAACGAAGATTTACCTGAGGGAGTGGAAACACAAAGCACGCGGTTCGTTTGTGTGTTCAGCGGTTTGTCCCAACCCCAAAATGACCCATCAATCCCAAGGAAGAGAGAAAACTTCCAAGCTTTTGGCCCGTTCCAACGCATGGACCAAAAACTTGCGGAAGGAAAAAAGTCCACAGGCTCGCCGGAACAAAGAATATTAAGGAGAAGTTGTGAAGATCCAGTTTCGGTAGGCACAAAGCCAAGAGTGATTCTCCTAATAGCTTCATTCATCACCTAGATTGAGGAAAAGATATCAGAGAACTGGCTCTGACACCTTTATGGTTAGGGTCACATTTTCAAGGCTGTTGGAGTGTCCCTCCTCCTTATCAACTCCCTGACGAAGATTCCACAGAAGGCCCCCCCCCCCCCCCCCCCTGCCCCCTCGGGTGAAAGACCCTCCTCCTGTCACCCCTTTGTTGGGAAGCTAGGTCCACGGTCTCACGGTCTAATGCCTCCATTTATCATCCTTTTGTTAAAAGAAACTGTTTCCTCCCTCCCTCAGATACATGAACTTCACGACCTACTCTAGCGTTATCTTCCGTAATTGTATGGATTCATTCCCTCGTGTATTTTTAGGAAAGGATTCATCGGAAAACCCAATGCACTTCCTAAAAATGGGAAAACCACTCAACCATCGAAACGGCAACGAAATCAACACAGGGAATCAGGTTTCGACCCATCCCAGTGACCCAATGGGGACGAACGGAAGGAGGAAGCAGGCCTCTTTCCCCCGAGGGCTGAGAAGCCTGGGGTCACACCGGTGTCAGGTCGTCCCCGATTTCTCTCTTCCTCCGTCCCATTCCATTTTGTGACCAGAGAATTTCAAGACTGGGCCAGAGGATATCGTGAATATATTGCAGTATCTTGAATTCATATGACCCATCCACTAAACTAATGGATTTTCTTTGTTAAGAGTTTAACATCAAATAATCTCCAGGATTGATGCAAGAAAAACGTTGCTATTCCCCGTTGATAAATTACTTTCAATTAGGATGCAATTTCCTTAAATATATCAGGTGGAGAGGTGCCTTTCCAGAAGTCCCTGATGGCACCAGTGAAGCGAACATCATATCTTTATATTTAGAAATAGCCATGGAGACGCATCTTATCCGAGTCTGAAATGACCTTTACAGATACCTTGCATCCACCAGCATGGCCACATTAAAGCGGCGGATACTCTGAACGAAGCGGTTAACTGGCGAGTCGTCGCGATCGTTCGCTGACTCACGTACGATTACGTCTAACTTGAGTTTCCTGAATACTTTTAAGAATGTGGAAGAAGACGAGGGCATACGAAACTTGGGGAAGCAGTGTTGAACCCACGATAGCCCCGAGGAGTCAGCACGGAAGAAAAATGCTAAGGGCATCGTTGAGATCACAACAGAATTTTTCGAACTTGGTGTCACGGTCCTCGCAGCAAACAATCGCGAGCCTCCCATGACTAATGCATGACCTCGATATTTGATGCTCCTGATTTTAGATAAATACTTTTGTCTTGAAAGTAATTCCAGCATCATTTATCACCCGAAGACAATGCCTCCAGAGTGTATGACAATTAAATAAGCTTTTATTGGACGACCTTCCTGAAGGCGAATATGTGTTCGTTGTGATAAGAGCGAAACGTCAATGAGATCCTTTGGAATGACTAATTAGAGAGAGGGAATTACGCTTCTGACCGAGTCATTCAGCACAAACTTCAAAATTTCCCTCTCCACATTTTTGAAAATGAAGTGTGGATTGTGGATATGAACGTCTGATTGAGGTGGATGCAACGTGATGGAGTGAAGTATGCGACTTCGCAAATTACTTAATGTAGATTTTAATTCTCGAATGAGGCCGGGATGGCGAAATAAAAGAGGATCAATCTGGGACAGTACGGGGAAGTACCTGGGACCGGAGGTACGGGGAAGTACCTGGGACCGGGGGTACGGGGGGAGTACCGGAACTACAAATCAGGAAACTTAATGTGCGATAGCTGTCTAAATCGTTTCCAGCCCTGAGAATGAGTGGAATGTTGTCTCTTGAGACAGGTACTCTCCCGACTTCTCGTTCTATCGATGACACGTTCGCATCGAATGGGAACTGTTTCAGAATTTACGACAGCAATGTCGGAATGCCACCCGGAAAATAGACCCCCCCGGAAGACAGACCCCCGGAATCGACATGAGCAGTAAAAAGCCAGTCGAGATGAAATCACAGAAAAAGTGGGTATTAAATCAAGGAACGTAGAGGACAAGAAAAGTGGCAAGTGAGTGAATATATATTTCTTAGAATAGGGAGGGGAGGATGGGCAAGATAGGGGAAGGCGAACGAGAAGGTAGTGAACCTTTAGTACTGCTATAGCATATTAAGATATGATGAATATAAACATCTTGAATCTTAGCCCCCAATGCATTCAAGCTTCAAGATAATAAAGAACTTAACTTTAGAACGTAGTCATAAGTAAGTGACGCAATTATTAAAATTGTCGTTAACTCTTGATGAGCTGTAATCGTATATTTTTACCGGAGGGACCATTTTGTCCTATATCTCATTAGCGGTCAAAATGTCCGGGGCCATTTTGTCCTAGGAAGATATTATTCGGGGCCAAAATGTCCGGGGCCCTTTTGTCCGGGGCCATTTTGTCCTGGATTCCCTGGGAGCATATAACATTGAAACAACATTGAATCAATGTTGATTCAATGTTTTATGCTACTAGGGTGCTGTCTCATGAACAACAAAGAATTCGAAAGAGCAGCACGTTTCTTATCCCTCACACAGCATCGGCTAAGTGCTTGGGCTTTTGGATTTTGGTCTTCAAAAATTTGCTAAATTGAAATGTTACATCGACCTTAGGATGGCCAATGGCCAATGTTCGACTGCCAATCATCATCTAGTGTATTGGAACGTTCGAGAGCCAAGTCTTAGCATACATCCAGCCATCAAACAGCACTCGATCTGTATACGAAGCACATCATCTTTATAGAGCAAATCAGAGAAGTTTCTTTAATTAGCTCGACAATATGTAAAACAAATTGTACATATTGATGATGGGATCATGAGGGCGTGTCATTTCCCCAATATCATCGTCGCATATCAGCGTCATATCAGCGTCATCTGGTTTCACATGATCCATCCGCTGTTTTGGCAGGCTTTCGATAGTTTTTTCCTGCCTCAAAATGCTTCGTTCACACTGCAGATTGCATATTTGACAGTCTTTTCACCTCACACGTCTACAAAATCTTCGTCCTCAAAGATTTCTTTTTTAAGTTCATGAGGAAGGAATCCTAGGGACTGAGGTCAGGTGAGTAGAGTGGGCGGAAAAAATGTGTACCATCCAGGAAAGGATCATTCGAACATTTGATCATTATCGTTCGCAAGCCATTTTATTGGTCCAATGTGAGAAAACCAGGAATCGACTAATGTCCTTCCCTAATTATACGCCGAAGATCGACAACCAGCCCTAGAACGACGAATGGGAAAGCGCAGCTAGCTGATGCCGATCAGCCGAAATGGCCATGAGTATGACTTATTCTTAGTCATGTTTCCTTGGCCGCTTGGGTTAATTCAATAACGACCCGAAAGCAGCTTTAAATTGGTGTTTGAGACGCATCTGGAGGGGAATGGAGAATCGTCCATCGCAACTAACT